CATCCATGGGAGCACAGCTAGTTCACGGTGCAGCCGACTAAACAAACTCAACTCCCTTCTGCAAAGGAACAAGTAAAGGTTTATTCCAAGCTGAGAAGAGAAGAAAAGAAGCACAGCGTTTCGACTTTGGAGCCTTCTTTGGGTGTCACAACCGAAGGCTCCACAGTCGAAACGTTGTGTTTCTTTTCTTCTCTTTTCAGCTTGGAATAAACCTTTACTTGTTCCTTTGCAGCTTATGCATGCTGACACAGTAACCTACTTGAACTCCATTCTATAAGTACCTCAAAACCTTTCAGTGCTGACTTTGCTCGCCTGCATTAAAGCAGAAATTCGTTGTATTAGAACTAGAAGCCACATAACACCTCTACAGACACACACAGACATTAATTTTGCAAATTATAATTACACAGTGGCGATCTAACATCTCATTAAAACAACATACCAATATGCCTGTATTGTAGAGGAGAATCAGCCTGGGTCTGATGCATGTTTTGATGGTTGTTACCATGCAAAATGCCTTTAGATAACTTGGATTCTGGTCGGTTCACTTTTGTAATTAGTGGTGGCTGAGGGATCTGTTTTTCCCTGTTTAGAACTAGGAGTGTGACAATTGCTTGTCTGGGTCTGTCTGCGGTATCAATGTTTTATTTGTTAAAAGGAGTTTGCAAACCCTTTATATTTGTTTGAGCTCTTTGTCGATGTCATCAGTATTTTTTATTTTAAAATATTAAGGATTGTCCTAATTGTTTTTTTTGCAAATGCAAAGCGCTGCTGTTGTTATTAAAGTTATGAAGTACTGTTAAGTATGAAAATAAACATTAAACAGTATTAAAGATAGCAGTGCCCACAGTGGACAGAGTTTTCAAACGCGAGCAGTTAACGGGGGGACTGAGTCACAGTACTGAAGAGCTTTCTCATGGGGAGAGTTTTAAGGCTGAGGTTTGTCCTCCCTGGACACTTGGGTCAGTTAGAAATGAAGTGCTTTGTGGCTCTTTAGCACGCTGTTGTGCTCCTGTGCTCTGACACTTGGCACTCCCTCTGCTGCTGTCGAGAGGGTGGGCCTTTGAGGTCTGTTTTTAAGGGACACCTTGTTTTGTTTTTTTCAGCTCCGGCGCCAGCTCCGTCGCCCTCTCTGGCTGTCCGAAATCACCATGGCATCCTGGAGGCAGCAGGGCCCAGCCATGTCGCCATCAACGCTATCTCTGCCAACATGGACTCCTTCGCCCGGGGGCGGACGGCCATCCTCAAGAAACAGCCCAGTCACATGGAGGCCACTCACTTCGGGGACTTAGGTACGGTCCCCTGGCTCCTAGCCCTCATCGACCCCAGAGAGCGCTCACAGCTCAGGCGTTTCTGCTCCAGCTGCGGATCTTGCCCTTTCTCCATGCAGTAGGTTCTCATGAAGATGAGCTCTTTCTGTGGGGAGCAAGGAGGTTGTGATGAGTAAAAACAAGAACAGGAATAGTGTTCTCCTGAGTCTAAGTTCATTTTTGAACCAACTGTTGTCCTTGGCGTGAATGTTTTCTGTTCTCATTCTTGTTCATTTTTAGCCGTGCTTGACTCAAACAGTGCAGCCGTTGTCTTCCCAGCTCTTTGTCTAAAAGCTCAGAGAGGAAGGGCTGAGCAAGAGTGAATCTTGTAAAGGGTGGAAGGGAGGGGATGTCGAATTTATATACCGATATCTGGCTTATAGAGCAAGACCCTGGCGTCCTGCGTTGAAAACTGGCAGTTTAATGGGGTGTGTATCACAATTAACATTTTTGTCTGAGCCATCTTGCTGCTATGACCCTCTTTATTCCAGAGCCGCTGTGCTCTTGTTCCCTGATCGCGTGACTCTGAAGCTGGTTTTTATGACCCAGATAATGGTTGGATTCTTTCAATAGTACTTACAGGAATGAGTTTCGCACTTTTAGTTTTCTACAATAAAATAATACTTAAGGAACAATATGAATTGAATTTTCAATAGAAATTGAATAATATAAGGTTTATAATTGTTCTGCACAGGCGTATCTAGTAATAAAATGGCAATTATCATAAGAGGTTTATGTTAACATAGTTTTCTTAGTCATTGTTTTGATGGAAAAACTCTCCAATCACAGCTATGATGCATTCAAATGTGCAAATTTGAAATCTTATGATCGTTTCCCCCTTTTTCTAAGCCCAAAACAGCCCATTTTAGGCCACTTTAAATGCAGGATTAATACAGAAAAACCAACAGCTAATTAATTCGGTTTTTACTTGGAGCACTATAAATGGAGAAACTCCCCAGCGTTTGGTCAGAGCGAGAAAGCAGTGAGCTGGCGTGCGCTTCGGTTGAATATGTCGTGGTGGCGTTTTGCCTAAAAAGAGCCTGCCGGGGGGAACTGAGAGCGAGCGGACTGACAGTGCGGAGCCTCGCGGTGCTGTGTTGCAGGCCGGTCCTGTGTGAACTACCAGGCCCAGGAGACCAGGTCGAGGCTGTCGAAGACGGTGGAGCAGATTCTGCGGGACGGCGTGGCCATGCCCTACTTCGTGCAGCACATGGAGCTCCAGGGGGCGGACCACCTGGTGAAGTTCTGGCTGGAGGCCGAGAGCTTCCGCTCCGTGAGCTGGTCCCGGATCCGAGCTCACAGCCTGAATTCCGTCAAGCACAGCTCGCTAGCCGAGCCCGCCTCCCCCTTGGCCAGGCCGCCCCGGAGCGGGGACCCTGCGGAGGGGGACCCCCAGGACTCCCGCACCCCCAGCCCCGCGAAGGGGAACCCGTACAGCCATGCCCGGACCTCCCCGAATAACTCCTTCAGCTCGGACGAGAAGGAATCGGATGCACTCCAGGGGGGCCCGAAGGCAGACACTCCCACACGGCAAGCTTCTTCCAAGGCCGGGACGCCTTTCAAACTCCAGCCCAGCCACGCACTTAAAGATCTGTCTGAAAAACTCATGAAAAGTAAGTCAGAATTTTGCCATCCTCGTCTGAAGATGTCTGAATCGTTTTCCGTAGAACTAGAATTTCCCGCCACGTTAGTTACTGTGCTGCAGTGTGCTCTTTTGTGTGCTGATATCTGAGTCTTCAGTGTGGCCGGATAGCTGCAGCGTGTGCACAAATGTTATGTAAAAGTAGTTAGGCTAAAGGAAAACAAATCATCTGTGAGCAAGACTGTGTACTGAGTCATTAAGCATGTAACTCTCCTCCGATGCTGCACAGTGATCTCGATCCATCAGAAAATTCAGGTGTAGTTTTTACTTGAGTTAGTTGTCTAATATCAGCTGGCTTTGAGGCATAACAAGACGTTCGCTGTTCATTGTTTTATTTTTTCATTGCTCTCTCCTAGGTATAGAACGAGATGCAGTGGACATTTTTACCAAATATATCTCTCCGGATGCTGCTAGGTCTATTCCCATCACAGAGGCGATGAGGACTGACATTGTGGGTAAGAGATCAAAGGACGTTCACTCCCTACCCTTGGGAGTAACTCCATAGCTGTTAGGTTTAGGTAAACTGGCATGGAATCATTTTACACCGTGCAGTCTAGGGCAAGTCTAGGCAACACTGGGTTTGGCAACACTGGGTTTTATCTTTGAATTCATTGTATTTAACAAATTGCATTTTGTTTCAGAGGTTTCTTCATCATTCAAACCATTTAAATTTAATTGTCTTCAAAAGTATATTTATTGATGGAATCATACCGGTGACTGCTGGCAATGAAGACAAAGCTCACACGGTTTCTTTCCCACGTCAAGAGGTCTTGGATTGTTCATACTCCTTTTGCTGATGTATTACGATAGCAGCTGTATTATTGTTATATAAAGCAGAATGAAGGTTAATGAATGACTCTACACATACAGACGCCATTAGCTTCCTGTGATAAGCAAGATCTATGTTGCTCACGCATGCTTCAGCTGGAAAGAGGTTTGAGAACTCTTCTCATGCACATCCGCAAACTGACTGTGCTTTTTTTTGTGTTTGTTGCTTTTTCGCAGCTAAAATCTGTGGTGAGGATGGGCAGGTGAATCCGAACTGCTTTGTTAACGCACAGTCTGCAGTCTTCAACATCATGGAACAGCAGTAAGTGATTGCTCAGGTCACTTTGATTCTGTCATGTTTGAGATTCTTGTCTCGGTAACGGTGCCACAAGGAGATTGTTGTGGAAACTTGCACACGTTGTTAACTAGCGTGTATTGTTGCAATTGGTGACCCCAACACCTGACGTCGGGTAACAACTTTGGCAATAAGTGTCCTGAATAATTATCAGCATACAAAGTGAATTGACATTCCGATGTCAGAAGTGGTGTAGTCTTTACCAGTGGCAAGTTGTCAGTTCCTTTTAGCCTCGGGCAAGGTTTTCTGGACTGAAAAGCACTGTAAATGGGCAGTACAATTTCATAAGGCCTTTCCAATTTCTCAACTGAAAACTCACGACACAGACTGAAATCATGCTTCCACCTTGTGGTCAAACCTTCTTTATCTAGTCTGAAACCCTGTGAATTACTTTGACAGATTTCATGTTTTAGATGCTACTAATTTTCATTGGATTGTTCTAATCCTCCTTGCTCGCTGTTTGCTTTGGGGTGGGGCAGTAAACACAGACAGTCAGCTGCTACAAATCTCCACTGTTCTCAAACAACGGTCAAAATAACTTGTGTTCACAATCTAAGGCCTTAGAATTTGAAAATAAAGTTTAGAAGTACATTCATTCTTGCAGCAGACTATGTCAAAGGATGTACTCACATAGCCGAATCATGTGTGTGGATGGGGGCATACTCTTTTATACAACCTAATGTTTCATTCCTGCTTCTAAAAATGTGCTATTTGACAATACGATTCTGCTAATGCAGAGAGTTAAACAGAAGTCCCTACTTGAGCCTAGATGTCACCTGATTCAGTCAGACCTTCTCACACTGTAGCACCTGAGACCACAGCTAACAAATGACATGGTAATATCCTAGGCCCAACTTTTTCTTCGCCATTGACACCTTTCCTGCCCTGAGTCTTAAGAAGACCTTTTTGCCAGAATATATATTTTGCGCGGCAGAATACGGTCAAAGCAGAAGCACCATGCATAACAAGAAAATAATCAAATAACAAAGTCATCTGTTCCATATTATGGTACGTAATCTGGTGTTTGAGCTCGTCAATCTTTTTCTATTGTCAGTTTCTCTAATTTGCATGAAGTCGTATTCCTGTCCATTTTATTAGGTTTTTTTCCTGTAAGGGATGAATGTTGCTCTCTGAGCATCGTGTTCCCATGATTAATTTATGAAGGAGACGATGGAAGTTACTGGCCCGGGTTTTGGTGTGGAAAGGCTGTGCTGTGAAGTACCTACCGCTCTTTGTTTGGGCCATTTGTGTAATAACTGTGTTTTTTCCTCCCTGCGCAGGCACTTTAGTGAATTTTTAAGGAGTCATTATTTCTGTAAGTACCAGATTGAAGTGTTGACCAGCGGAACGGTGTACTTGGCAGACATCCTCTTCTGCGAGTCGGCTCTCTTCTACTTCTCCGAGGTGAGGGAAGTGCTCTTGCACGCCCATTCTACAGTACATGTCATCGCCACTTCCACCGCCCGGGGTGACACCTTAATTCTGCCTCGGCTGCCCAGCCTTGGTCCAGAGGTCTGCACGAGTCGATGGCTTGGCCATACGTGAAAGAGAGCAATTTTT